GTGGAATAATTCAGCAGACATGGTATCTGTGCCAAGTCAACAATACCCTTTACAGTGTGCCAAAAATTATTTTTTTCAGATTTAGATTATTGCCTTAATATTTCAAGAAAAAACCCAGAGATCACCAACATGGAAAGGCCCTCAATCCCAAGGAATTTGGGCAAAATGAGATTATATGGAAGTTGACTTAAGCAGTCAGTCCCCCAAATAAATTATTTTCGTTAGCACTATGTTAAATGGCACTAATTCAAGAATGTTATTTTAAGAATTTTAAAAATTTGCCCGTTGTCCTTATAGGGTTAAAGAAATACACAAAGTACAAAATGAGAGTGGCTGCCTCAACCCATGTTGGAGAAAGTTCTTTGTCTGAAGAAAATGATATCTTTGTGAGAACTCCAGAAGATGGTAAGAGTATCAGTTGTGGTTGTAATTAAAAAAAAAAAAAAAAAAAGAAAATGCTGTTACATGCTTACCACCTTTATCTCAGGCCACTTTTAGTGTCTGAAGCAACAAACATGAAAAAAATACATGTACTTAAAATTTCATTTTCTTCCCCAGAACCAGAGTCATCACCTCAAGATCTTGAAGTAATTGACATTACCTCAAATGAAATAAGGTTGAAGTGGTCACCACCCGAAAAACCCAATGGGATCATTATTGCTTATGAAGTGCTATATAAAGACATAGATACTTTGTTTATAAAGAACACCTCAACAACAAACATAATTTTAAAGGATTTAAAACCTTACACCCTCTATAACATTTCTGTAAGGTCATATACTAGATTTGGTCATGGCAATCAATTATCTTCTTTACTCTCTGTGAGGACATCTGAGACTGGTAAGTTGTTTTTTGTTTGTTTAATGATACATAGTGATGTAGTAAAGATAGCTGACAATTGCCATATTGTTTATATTTTACATAACCTAAAAACCTTCATCATTTGGCTTTGTATAATCCAGACATTCATTTTCTTTTTTTGGCAAAAGTGTGGGAAAATGCTTGCTGTGCAAATTTTTAAATTCTGATTTACATCTAAGGGAACTCCTGATAAAATTAAGTGAGTTTTTCAAATGAAAGACCTTGAGAAACCAACGATTCTCTCAATGTACCTGTAAACTTAAGATTGAATAGCTACTTGCTTTCAAATTAGGTAAAAGCAGAGACTACTCACAGGAATAGATTCTTATACTCTAATGAAGCAAGTATATAGATCGTGGTGCAGCATGGGAGCACAAAAATGGCATGCCTGGGGAAGCCTTATGGAGGGGTAGCATTTGGTGTGGATCTTAATGAGGAGGATGGAATGGGCAGGAGGATATTATAAAGGTTGCTGGGTGGGTGGGGAGGGATATCCCATCTAAAGAAAATAATGTAAGCAAGGAATTACTTGTGTTTCAGTTTTAGTGATGCTAGAGCAAATAGTACAATGCAAGACATTTTGCTTGATCATCTTAGTTTATTGTTTATATTATGTTTACAATCATATATTGGAGGCATAACTGTTAGGCCAATTCTACAATGTATGCTGAGTTTTCATAACTAAATGTAAAGTTACTGTTTTATACATACATTTAAAACAATAACTATTAAACCACATGAAATTGCCATTTTTTATAGGTCATAGATGGACAAATATTAGCAATTTCATATAGTTTAGCTAGATATTATATGTGAAGTTCTGTCCCTGACCTTGAGGACCTAGAAATCTAGTAAAGGAGCTTACCTTTGAATGATAGTACCTTGTTGAGACTATTTACAGAAATGAATAAAATGAGATGACACAAAAGTGCCTATAGAGATGGCAATAGTTGAAATTGCAGGATTAAGAGAGTTATAAAAGAAGCATTTTATATCATAGAGGCCTCAAGTGAAACTTAATTGATTTTA